GCCTTAATTTTCTCCAGAGCACTTATCACTATCTACCATGTTATTTATACTACTTATTTTATTTGTCTATCTTTCCCTTAATTGCAAATGCCTGTGCAGCACTTGCTATGTAACAAATGCTGTTCTAATTTCTCTATTAATTCACCGAATTCTCCGACAACTATACGTGGCAGTGCATGTTACTCTTGCCATAGTGTAAATGGGACGCAGAGACAGGTTAATAGCTTGCCCACGATCACCCCACGGCAAGTGGTGAAACCAAGCCTGGTCAAGCGTGCCTGCTGTTAACCAGCACACAACACTGTTCTGTGAGGGTGGAAACGTTCGCTGTTGGATGCTCCTTTGAATCTTCAGTGCTTACAAGAATGCTCAGCACATACAGATGCTCAGTGAATAATAGCCAGTGAAGGAATGAAGAAATGAGTGGATGAATGTTGGACACAGAGGATGAAACAGAGAGGCACCTGCCTTCCGGGAGCTCATGGCCCCGTAGAGGAAACAGACAAAAAGTTACTTCAATAAACACACCGAGATGGCATTGTGGGGCCTGCAGGGGGCACACGACTTGTTTGGCTTCTGGAAGGCAGGGCTTTCTGGAGGAAGGACATAGACGGGGACAGGCACAGTGACATCACCCACCTCCTCGGAACTCCTTCCCAGGGACAGACAGCCCCTAGCTCTTCCGACCTCCATCGACAGGGCTGCAGAAGGGGATGGTGGCTCCGCAGTGACAATGGAAGCACAGTGGGCCAGCAGTGTGAGCTCTGAGGATACTGTCTGGAGTCCATTCTCACTCTACCAAACACTCACTAAGTGACCTGGACAGGCTCCCTAACCTCCCTGGGCCTCGGTCCTCCTACCTGGAAGGTGGAGACAGCAAAGGATGCTGACTTCCTGGACTAGTGGACAGGATTCCATGATCCAAATGGCAACAGCATTTGGAACAGTGCACATAGCACAAGGCAGGCAACATGCCAGTTCCAGGGGGTGGACAACCAATGCTCTTCCTGCATTTCATACAGGTTGCTGGCTTCCAGGGAGGAATGGGAGCGGATGGTGGAATTAAACATCCTTATTACTATAACTTCTCTGCTGTGGCTTCATCCCATTTTCCAGAAGCAACTCAAAGCAGGGCAGGAACTACACCTGCTTTGTTCACCACTATTATCCCTAACACCTAGTACGGTACCTGACACATAGTAGGTGCTCAATAAATATTTGTTAAATAAGGGCTTGTGTGATTATATTGACTTAATCTTTGTGAGGATAAACATTCATTGTTGTTGTCTACACTTATAAAGGAGGTTACTACAGGCCCAGCAAGGTTAATCGACTTGTCCCTTAACACAAGTCCCATAAACAGAACAGCCAGATGCGAAGGCCGGTCCCAGGCTCTTTCCTCCTCACTGTGCTGCTCCTTGGACTCCGGCACGTCGTGTCCTGTTTTCCACGGGTTTTTTTCCTAGCCAGTGGGGCTGTCCCTGCGTGTAGAGTCATTTCCAAATTCTATGACTCATATCTGAGTCACAGAACGGTTTAGTAGTTGAAAAGGACTTTTGATGTCATCTCAACCTCCCACCCTTGTGGAAATTTCCTCTCCAATGTCTATCCAGAAAATAGTTGAATGCCTCCAGTGATGAAACACTCATTTTCTTCCTCTTGAATTATCAAGTTCTATGACTGGGCACTTTCTAGAGTCAGAAAGAAGGTTCTGCCTCTCGTGGGCCAACAGGCCTCTCTTTAGTTTCTGTGTGTTGGGTTTATGCCATCTTCCTAAGATATACACAGAACGAATGGGCTCCCCCTTTTGCACAGTCTTTCAGACAGTCGCAGACAGCTCTCACATCCCTTTGAAGAATTCTCTTCTCCAAGCTGGATGATTCAAGTTCCCATGAACTTGAACCACTGGTGCAGTTCCCACCCGTGGGGGGCCACCGTGCAGTGGCCCCCATCCTAGACTATCTCAACAGGCTGTCCAGTGTTTTGAGCAATGGCACCCCTACTGGATAAAGTGTGAATTGCACTACGGGGCTCAAGGTCCACCTGAGGAGCTTCAAGAGTAGCTGGGGCACTGGCTTAGGGTGTGAATAAAATAACTGCTTACTTTACTTTTTTTATCCTCACCTGAGAACATCTTTTCATTGCTTTTTTAGAGAGATGAAAGGGCAGGGAGGGGAGAGAGACACAAACATTCATATGAGAAAGAAGAATCAATTGGTTGCCTCTCGTATGAGCCCAATATGAGCTCATACTGGGGATGGAACCCACTACGAAGGTATGTACCCTGAGAAGGAATTGAACCTACGACCTTTTGGTTACAAGACAAAGCTCCAATCAACTAAGCCAAACTGGCCAGTGCTAAAATAACTGCATATTTTAAAGAGTCACCACTTTAGAGGCATACCTAGTTGTTTAAATGCCTATCTTAAAGAGTATCACTGAAGACTCCATTATAACGTTCCTTGCCAAGCGTGAGGTTTTTGACAAGCTAGAGGTTTAGAACATCAGTCTTAGAATTCAAATGGCTGTTTGTTTTTTAAACAAAAAGGTTTGGAAGGAAAGAAATGAAAAAGTATGCCGTGTTATAGGATTATGGTAACTTCTCTTTTTTTCACTTGTCTTTTTAAAAAAATATTTTATTTATTTATTTTCAGAGAAAGGAAGTGCCGCGTCCTCTTCCAACCATGTTGTCTGACAAGGTCCGGGCACGGAGGACTCTAGTTCAAGGAATTTGTTTCCCCGGAGGAGAATGTGGCATCCAAAATGGGTTAACAATTGGCTGCTTTATTTTAATTATTTTACTCTTGCTACTGAATATAGACATTGTACTGTACTTACTTACTCCTGTGAAAATCACCCAAGAGGAAGGGACAGTTCAGGGGAACACATTAGTATTCCCCACGGAACTGCCTGAAAGGATGGAAAAATCCCCAGAGATTCCCCTCTCCCTTATACAGGGGGGTACAACAGCCGGGGTAATATAATTGTTAACCATAAGGGAAAACATGTCAAGTTGTATAAATTACCCTGGTTTGAGAACTTAAAGCGATCAGGACCGCCATGGTGTATCAGAAATAAGAAAAATAACTTAGATCTCTTAAATAAACAGTTAAGGCCAGTTAATAAAGAACCAGGTTATTGTTGCAAACACAGGTTGTGTTGCCAACAGTTGAGGGAATGAAAGAACAGATTAGAAAGACTTTCCCACGACTGTTCCTTACCCACAGATACAAGGGTCTTCCAAGAAGACAAGTAAAAACTATACGGACCCCTACCCACAGCCCAGGGATACGGTCAGGACGATTGAGATGCATCTGCAAGGCAGAGGCAACTGTGGCTGGATTTCCTGTCTATCCCTCCTTACATGTTTGTTTGGGTGATCAAAAGGTGGTGGGATTGTTAGACACCTGTATTTCAGGTTCATTGATTAGCATAATTCCAATGAAGTTGTACAAAATAACTTCTTGACCAGAGAACAAAGTCCCTGTATGTCTAAAAGTTGTTGGAGTAACAGCCCCTCCTTTACCTTGAATAGGAAAATATATCAATTAGACAGGCAAAGAAATAAGAAAAGCTGGTTAGTTATTACAAACTAAACACGTAGAAACAGTTACCAGGGAGTCAGAGTTCTTAGTACACAGAGAAACATTTTAGACAGAAAAGGATAGATAGCTAAGTTAGACATCACAAAGGCCTTATAATGAATTTCCTATTACCTCTACCCAATCTAGTGTATCCTTTTGCCCCATGACAAATTCTGAGAAACTTTAATATACAATAAGACATTCAAATTCTTTACATACAGCTACTTCTAATTGTCTGATTTATGGCTCTCCTGGTCAAAATAATCTTTGTTTAATATAACTGAATCTATGGGAACTTTCGTACTTTTCCTGGTTACCTTTGTATTGATTTTTTCTGCTTAACTGATCATGCTATACACCTGCAAATGTTAATCACTACCAAAAACGAAAATATAAAAACCTGCTTGTACTTGCAATAAATGGACAGAGCTTCACTGTCCTTTGAGGCGTGTTGTCGTCTGTTACCCATTGCCAACGCCTTACCCACCTTTCAGGAAACCCTGGACCCTGCTGCAGCTGGACCGCAGCAAAGGAGGGAGAAATAGAGGAAGAGAAACACCAGTGTGTGGTTGCCTCTCGAGCACCCCCAACTGGGGACCTGGACTGCAACCCAGGCATGTGCCCTGACTGGGAATCGAACCGGCGATCCTTTGGTTCACAGGCTAGCACTCAATCCACTGAGCCACACCAACCAGATCACTTGTTTTTATTTTTAAATATTTCTACAATGGGTATGTTATAAGAAGAAAAAACCAAAACTTTTCTAAAAAGGAAAAAAAAAACATTAAAATCTTCCCCCGCCTTCCTTGTCTCTATTCCTTCCAAGGCTGTTTGTCACGACGTGGTATCTGGTCTACAGCTGGGACATCTGCCCCCCCAGGCAGCAGTGCCTTGGTAATACCTCTGTGTTGACATGGCCTGTGGTTCAGCTATCCAGGCTCCGCCAAAGAGTGGTCAGTCAGACCCAATTTCACACCCCCAACCAGGCTTCTCGACAGGTAGCTCCTCCACACTCTCCACCCTCCTTGGGTGCGCATGTAGGTCAGTTTTTCTTTCCTGATCTTACCACTTGAAATGAGCCCTGCACACTACTGGCCAGTGGTCATGCCTCAATCAGCCCTGGACCCTCCAGTCCTCCCTCCTTCTCTCCACCCTCCCAGCACACCCTCAGCTACCCGCTCCTCCCTCCATGGGAGCCTAGAGCAGCTCCAAATGATAACTGGCCAGAGAGACATCAGGGATTAGAAAAACAAATCCCCATTTCAATGAAGATCTACGGACCAGCTGAGTCACTCCTCTCACGCAAGTTCGCAGCTACCCAGGCTCTGCTCCAGCCCCAGTGTCATCTGGGGCTCTCTCCCTCCATCTGGAACTCTGGGGTGGGGGGAGGGTTGGCGCCGGAGCTGGAAGACTCACCCGACAGCCTCTCACTGCAGCACATGTCCAGGGCCCCTGCCTCGGAGTCATCAGCGGCGCGGTTCTCTCCCCCCTGCAGGATGAAAAACCGGAGAGGATGCTGTTGAGCTGGGATCCAGACCAAACCCTGAGCAAAGATAAAAAGCCTCCTTTTCTTGCACTGTGTCCCTCTTAATAACCACACCTCGCTCCATCAGAGGCACCTTAGGAAAAGACTGTCCTGCAGGAGGGTCAGGCTGCAGAGACAGGAGAATTCTGCAGGCACCTTCCAGGTGAAATCAGCAACAGCAGCATCACTGTGACCATCGTCAACCTCATCTCTGCCATTTAAGGAGGGCTCACCATGTGCAAAGCACTTTATACACTTCATCACGCTGAGTCTTCATTGTGGCCCCATGAATAAAGAATCGTTAAAGAGGCTCAGAGAAGTTGAACACCCTGCCCAAGGTCACTCAGCTTAGTAGGGTGGAGTGGGGTATGAAATTAGTCTAAGGCTTCAGGCTCACGTGCACTGCTGCACGGCCCTGCATCTTAGTTCTTATGTGTTTAAAAATCGAAAGTGTGGGGGAGCGAGGAGAGGGGTCTGGGAAACACAGTCTGTGTCCAGCTCCTGGAAGACTGCAATGCTCTGTGCTTCAGGCAGTGGACAGTGGCATGCAAGACTTGTCTCCAGAAACAGCTGGAAGTAGCTATTAAGTATTTTTGCATATTCTAAATGTTCTATTTCCTTCTGAAATAAGAAAACCCTCTTTCTAGACCACCGGGGCACTTTCCAGAACTACAGTGGGGTCTAGCTTTCCTCCTTTACTCCGTAAGCTCCAAAAAGGTCAAGTGGATTGAGCAGAGCCCTTGAAGGGTCTGCAGACAGACACAGTCTAAGGGCAACTGCGTAGCTCATGGGGGTTCCCGACTATGGGAGTAGCCTGAAACTCGGTGGGCTCCAATGGCCTCCTGTGCTCTCCATGTCCCCGACCCCTGTGGTAGGTAGGTGGCTGGACACACCAAGCAGGCCGGGCCAATCAGATGCACTCTGGAGGGCCTGCGGCTGTGGGGCTGAATCACGGCGGCCGCAGTGCTGGAGAAAAAGGCCGAAACGCCTGCTGCTGGGGGCCTCAAAGCCGCTGCACTCCTGCCCATCTCGGGTCTTGACTGGGTAGCCCGTCCATCAAGGCCACACAATGTCCCGGAATCCTTCCCACAAATCCCGACCTTTTAGCTTAAGCTAGTGGGATTTGATTTCGGAGAATGGCAACCAGAAGACACTTCAACAGAGCCTCACTAGCATACTTTTGGGTTGGCCAAAAAGTTTGTTTGGTTTTTTCTGTAACATGGCTCTAACAGCACTTAGCTGTCTTTAACTTCACTCGAAATAATTCTGTTAGATTGTATTGTGACAGCCGTTATATCAGCATGCATTTAAAAAACAACGGAACAAAATTGGTGAGTTTTTGCACAGCCATTTTAATAGTGAAGATGGAAGAAAATAGGTAACACTTTTGGTATACTATGCTTTATTACTTCAAGAAAGGTAAAAACGCAACTAAAATACAAAGTGTGAAGTTTCATGCTGGAGATTTCGCACTGGATGGTGCGCCGCAGTCGGGTAGACCAGCTGAAGCTGACAGAGATCAAATTGAGACATTAATTGAGAACAATCCATGTTATACTATGCGGGAGACAGCTGATGTACTCAAAACACCCAAATCAATGAAGTTATTAGCGAACATGAAAAATGTGTCTTTTATTTTGTGGAGAAGATCACATGGACTTTTTGGCCAACCTAATACTTTTGAGAAGTCCAACAGGCCGGTTGCCTCCCAGCCCACCAGTCCTGCAGCCCTGCCTCTCAGACTGGTCCTGAGGCTGAGTGCAGGCCAGGCTGCAGATCTGAAAGGATTACGGGCGGACGAGCTGGGTTAAGGTGCTCACCACTGGCATTCCATTAGTTCATTTTCTCCCCACTGCAATATTTCCTCACTGAATCCCAGATCTCAGAGCCGAGCTCCCCTGCAGAGAGCACCTTTAAATGTCTGCCGAATCCCTGCACTTTTTTCCCTCGCCAGCACCTCCCCATTGGTCCACGCCCAGCACCCCGCCTTTATTACCGAGCTGGTCTTTTAACTGGCCTCCAAAGCCGCCTGCATGTGCCCCAGTACGCACGCGGGGCTGTGTAGGCTGGGCAGTCAACACCCCACACAACGGAATGGGGCAGGTTGAGCCAGAACCAACTCTTTCCAAACTCAACACTGATCACGGAACCTTCCTTGAAAAACTTTTAATGGCCTCACACCACACTCAGAACAAAGATAAAACTCCTTCACCAGAGCGGACTAGAGCTGGCATGGCTGACCCTTGTTTGCCCCTCTAAGCTCATTTCACGCCCCTTCCCCCTTGACCTCTGCACGCTCACAGGCTGTTTTTGTCATGAGGAATTTGTACGCGCTTCCCCCTCTACCCGGGGAGCTCCCCCCAGCTCTGCTTCTCAGTGCGTGTTACTCACAGCACTTGACGCAGTGTGACATTTCATTCTGATTTTCCCCATTAGGTGATGGACGCCCATCTGAACCTTAGGCCACAAGTTCCGTGAGGGCAGACACCATCACTTCTGCTCTATTTTTAAAGTTCACATCGTGCCTGGCCCCCAGCAGGTGCTCACTGAACACATGCTTGTTGAGTAAATGAATGGAGCCCTGACCGTGTTGGAAAAAACGCCAGGAACTGAGCTCAAACCAGGCTATAATCAGAGCTGCCTGGTGGCTATGCCTTTTTTAAAAAAATTTCTTTACTTTTTCCTTATTGATTTGAGAGAGAGCAGGAGAGAGAAACACTGATTTGTTGTACTGCTTAGTTATGCATTCACTGGTTGATTCTCATATGTGCCGTGACTAGAGATCGAACCCACAACCTTGGCGTATTGGCATGACACTCTAACCAGTGGAGCTACCAGGCCAGGGCCTGGTGGGCAGATCTTTAAGTCACCTGGAACCCTCCCCCGGGGCTGATGTCAAGAGCAGTCACAGAGTCACATATCTGGAGGAGTGATTTTGAAAAGGAGGAAACTGGGGCACAAAATGGGGGTCTGACTTGCCCCAGGTTGTACATTGTGGCCATGGAAGTTGGGATCAAGAATGCCTATCCCTAATCTCTCAATCCTGAGAGTGAGCGTTTTCCTTTTCCTAAAGAGCACCCCAGCCTGAGGGTGATCTGTGAGGGCTGGCCGCTGGCTGGGTGCAGAAAGGTAACCAAGGTACTCAGATACCTTGCTGGAAGGGGCCCCAGGAGTGACTCACTGATGCTTCTACCCCTTAAGGCTCCCTGGCCCCAAGCCGTGTTCAGAATAGCTTGGTGCTGCATGTGTGCAGAGGACTCTATAAATAAGCTTCCTAGAAAATGACTAATTTCATAATCAGAAAAGCAGAAAGAGTAGCACCTCTCTTTTGTAGAGGAAAATGGAGCAAGAACCCGCTGTTTGGTCCTGCAGTGGAAGGACTCCAGGGACCCGCCGTCTGGACCTGCACGCCCAGGCTGTTCAGGGGAGGGCTGCAGGTAGATTCCCACAGACATGTTCCATTCAGGCTACATGAAGAAGTCTCTGGGCATTGCCCTCCTTCCCCCTTGCCAAGAGCAGAAAGAGCTGCTTGCAGTGGGTTGCTGTGGGCCCCTTCCCTCTCCTTCTCCACTTCTATTAGTGGGCAAAGGAGCAGGAAACTGGCCAAGACACAGGTAGCAACTTGCTGGAGTGGCTGCTCACCATCACTCTTCGAACCAGAAAACCCTGGAGATGCAGGGACATCACCTAGCCTGTCCCTCCCTCGATGATGGCGAATGTCTGGGAGGACAGGGAACCTTCCCAAAGCCATCGCCTCGTTCCACAGGCGTCTGCTGAGCACCTCCTACGAACGAGGCACCAGGACTGCCTTAGAATACAGCGACAAACAAGCCAGGCCCCTCCCTCCACAGCTCCCAGTCCTCCTGGGGTGACACAGGTGCAAACTCGACACACCCACATCTGCTTTAACTGACACATGCGTGGACACCTTGGGAAGGGCTCGGCTCAGCTTGCGAAGAGGGGGTCACAGGAAGTCTTCTCCAAGGGGAAGACAGGAGCTGGCTCCTAAAGGATGTTTCTACGCGGATGAGGGGCCACAAGGGAAAGACCTTCCTGCGTAGCACAAATAGCAAGAGCCGGGCACGGAGGCCCGAGATGTACGGAGCATTTGGCATTAACTGGGAGCAGGCTGGTTAGTAGGATGGGGAAGCGCCAGGTGCTAGGCCTCGGCAGAGGAGCACAGCAAGAGGCAGGCCTGGCTGCGGGGAATCCGCCTCCTCGGGGAGCAGGCAGCCCTGTTCCACTTGACATGGGCTCCCCCACAGTGAGAGGTGCCCCGCAGGCTCCTCCCCTCATGGCCTGGGCAGGGGAGGTCTGTAATGGGAAGTGAGGCCAGCAGCTGTGTTTGAGGAATAGCCTAGGCCCAGCTCCCGGTGTCTGCTCTGGTTCTAAACTGCCCGCCCCCCAAGTAACATAAAATCCCCCATTTTAACCATTTTAAAGAGTGCACTTCAGTGGCATTTAGTATGTTCACAGGGCTGTGCAGCCCCCACGATCACGCAGTTGCAGGCATCTTCATCGCCCCAAAAGGAAGCCCCGTGCCCCTTAAGTTATTACTCACTCTCCCCACTCCCAGCCCCTGGAAACCACCAATCTGCTTCGTCTCTCTCTCTCTCTCTGTTTGCCTTGTTTTAGACATTTCACATAAATGGAATCATAAACAGTGTGTGGCCTTTTGTGTCCGGGTTCTTTTGCTCAGCATAACGTTTTCAAGGTTCACTCACTTGTAACAGCACTTTATTCCTTTTTTGGATGAATATTTGACTGTAAGAATATACTACATCTTAGTCTCCATTCATCAGGCGCCGGACATTTGCGTTGTTCCCACCTTCTGGCTTTTGTGAACAGGGCTGCCGTGCACCCAAAGTCTCTTTCAAATTCTGCCCTGCACATGCTTCTGACTTTGGGCCATCCTCTCCCACCCTAGACCCCTGAGGTCGTATCTATAAACTAATCGGCCAGAC